GGGCTCGAGCCCATGGGGCTGCTCTGGGCCATGGAGCCCGATCGGCCGCTCTGGCGCCTGATCAAGCGAGACGTGCAGACGCCCTTCGTGGTGGAGCTGGAGGTGCTGGACGGCCACGAGCCCGACGGTGGGCGGCTGCTGGCGCGGGCGGTGCACGAGCGTCACTTCATGGCTCCCGGGGTGCGGCGCGTGCCCGTGCGCGAGGGTCGTGTGCGCGCCACACTCTTCCTGCCTCCAGGTGAGCGGCCCTCAGGTCTGTGCTCTCAGCCTAGACTGATCTCTGGTCCTGCATAAACCTGGCGGGACAGTCACATAATTGTGGTACTTCCGCACTCCAAAACCTGCCAGTCGTTTTAAATGAAAAATTTTCTAGCAAGTCTCATCCCTTAAGGCACCGTGAATCTCTCAGCTTTATGCTGAAGAGGGCATTCAACTTTAGACTTTTGAAATCCACTAAATGCCGCAATATGGGTGCATTTTAAGTACCGATATAATCAATAACTTATGCCTGTAGCAATAGTGACTTTGACCTCCTTTCACATCGAACTTTCAAAGGTCCTTACACCCACAAATGAAGACAGTGTACCCTAATCATTAAAATGCATATGAATGTCCCTGGCAGTCCTCCCCCAACTGTAAACAAGCTGGCGATGCTTCTCAGCCTAGAGTGATTTTTTTGCCGGTCCGTGAAGACATTTAGAATATCTGCGGAGATTTTTGTTTGTCAAAAATGAAGGCAGGAAACGCTGTTGCCATCTAGCTGGTAGAGTCCAAATACTGAACAGCCTGAGAACAAAATGATCTTGTTCCAAATGGATATAGTGGGCTCGGGAGACAGCTCAGGTGGCAAAGTGCTTGCTTGGCAACCATGGCCCTCAGCCCCTCAGGACCCATGTTAAAAGCTGGGCACCAGATTTGATGCCTATAACCGCAACCTGGAAGAACAGACAGAATTCCTGCGGCTTGTTAGCATGCCACTGCAGCGTGCAGTGAGCTCCAGGCTTAGAACTAGTCTCCAAAAGTCAGGTGAAGAACTATTGAAGCTGGGAGGTGGTGGCGCATGCCTTTGGGAGGAAGATATCTGTGAGTTCGAGGCCAGCCTGGTCTACAGAGTTAGTTCCAGGACAGCTAGAGCTGTCACACAGAGAAACCCTGTCTCAAACAACAACAACAACAACAAAAGAACTATTGAGGAAGATACCCGATATTGACCTTTGACCTCTACACACACACACACACACACACACACACACACACACACACACTTGTCTAGTGGTGCCCTGGTGAAAAGGAGATGGGTGTGTGCTGGACTAAGGGACTTCAGGTGATCCTATCTGCAACAGCTGGAACATTAAGTATTTCGTGTATATAGTCTGTTCCTGGGTGGTACCTGAGCAGTCTCTGATGAGCCTGTCATAGCTAGGCCCTCCAACACACACATCAGGACACACTCACATTCACACACAAGCACAAATACTCACATGCATGTCACACACATACACAAGTGGATGGTGGTGGTTTGAATAAAAATGGTTGCCATAAATCCATAGGGAATGACTCTATTAGGAGGTGTGGTGTTATTGGAGTAGGTGTGGCTTTGTTAGAGGAAGTGCATCGCTAGGGAGTAGCTTCAAGCTCTCAGAAGCTCAAGCCAGGCCTCGTGACTCAGTGTCTCTTTCTGATGACTGTGGGTCCAGATGTAGAACTGTCAGCTCCTTCTCCAGCACCTGTATACCACCATGCTTCCCACCATGACAATAATGGGCTAATTTGAACTGTAAGCCAGCCCCGATTAAATGTTTTCCTTTATAGCAGTTGCTGTGGTCATGGTGTCTCTTCACAGCAATGGAAAGCCTAAGACATGGATACTGTGCTGATGCTGACAAACCCTGGTCTGAGAAAATAGGGTGCAGTCTATGGAAACAGTGGAAAGAGAGTCCCTGGTATACCCCTCCAATCACAGAAAAGGACTAGAGTCACAGCAGTACACAGAATTTTGAAACTGAATTTGGTGGTTGTTGTACAAAGTAAGAGACTATGCCTCTTTCTTACAGCTCTTGGGCACTTTCTAACCTGAACTGGTGGCTACTTGGTACAGCGGGAACTCTGCAACTGGAACGGAGTCCTACTCCATTTCTCTGTCTCCGTTTCTGGAGACTTCCACATGACTTTAGGAGGAGCTCTGTAAATCACCCTGACTGATTCAGTTATCCATTAAGAGTATTTATCCTAGTCACTGTCCTCTGTGAAGAGACACCATGACCGAAGCAATTCTTCTGAAAGAAAGCATTTGATTGGGGGCTTGCTTACAGTTTTCCAACATGTAGTCCATTATCATGATGAGGAGCATGGCAGCGTGTAGGCAGGAGCTGGAGCAGTAGTTGAGAGCTACATCCTGGTCCATAGACAGAGAGGGCAACACTGGACCTCATGTGGGCTGTGGAAAACCTCAAAGCCCACTCCTAGTGACACACTTCCCCCAATAAGGCCACGCCTCCTAATTCTTCTCAAATAGTGTTACTTCCTGATGGCCAAGCATTCAAGTATATGGACCTCTGGGGTCCATCCTTATTCAAACCACCACAGTGTTATAGAGTCTTTCATTAAGGACAAGTAAACAACATGATTTCCAAGTAAATTATTTAAATGGTGTGGTTGCATACATTTGAAATTCCAGTGTCCCAGAGGCAGGGACAAGAGGATCAGGAGCTCAAGATCCTGGGTTACCAAGCAAGTGTGAGGCTAGCGTGCACTGCATGAGACTTAAAGAACAAGAGGGAAATGAAGAAAAAAAAATGAGAAAAGAAAAACAAACGGAAAATTTCATTGTCTACTGTGCGGCCTGCACTGGTTTGAATGAGCTTGGCCTCCATGGGCTTATATATTTGAATATCTTGTCCCCAGTTGATAGAGCTGTTTGGGAAGGATTAAGAGGTGTGGCCTTGTTGAGGGAGGCGTGTCACTGCAGTGGCTTTCGAGATTTCAAAAGGCAACAATATTCTCCGTTCTCTCCACACTGTGCTGTGGATCAAGAGAAGAGCTGTCAGCTGCTGCTCCAGGACTGCCTGCTGCCATGCTCCCCTACCAGCCGCTCCCGTGATTACCATATATTCCAACCCTCTGAAATCGTGAGCTCCAGATTAGACTCTTCCTTTTATTAGTTGCCTTGGTCAGGGTGCTTTTTTCACAGCAATGAAAAGGTAACTGAGACAGGACCTACCAAAATGTGGGGCAAAATTTATAGCATAAAAGAAATTACCCTTATCCAGAGAATACAGTGTGGCAGGTACTTCGAGAAGGCACTGGGGAGAACTCGTCTGAGACTATCTAATCCAGCTCAGCCTTGGGGACACACTGGAAAGGCTGTCTGGGAGGGGAACCAAAAGTGAAGTTGGCAAACTGAGAAGTTGAGCAGATCAAAGTCAGGAGAGAGAGAGAGAAAAAAATAGCACAATCAACAAAAGAAACAGTAGATAAAAATATTCAGGGGTCAGAACAACTTGGCAGGTACAGGGTGCTCTTCTTTAAAGGCAGAAAAGAAGACAAGGAAAGGGGAAGACCCTCTAGTAACCCCAGGTGAACATATAGAGCTTTCTCAGATACTCTCCGAGGAAACTGAAAAAAGTGGTTGGAAGACATGTGCTATTTTTAAACTTTATTTATTAATACTTATGACAAATTCTGGGGGAAAAACATTTTGTTCCACTTTTCTTTTCTTGGTAGATTATTAAAAACAGCCAGACAGACACAGTGGTGTACTCCTTTAATCCCAGGAAGCAGAGGCATGCAGATCTCTGTGAGTTTGAGACCAGTCTGGTCTATATAGTGAGTTCCAAGCTAGCCAGACCCTGTCCAAAAACAAAAAACAAACAAAAAAAAATGTGGTGCCACACATCTGCAACTCCGCTGTTGAGAGGCAGAGGCAGGAGGGTCAAGGTTCCAGGCCACAGTAAGGTCATGTCTCCAAATAAATAAAGTAGGAGGGGGGAGGGGTCCTGATTCTCAGATATCTCCAGCCACCGCATCCCTGACTTCAAAGACGTTTTCTTGTTAATTGCCAAAATCTGAATCCCCAAATCTCTTTTGAGCAGCTAAGTCATTTTGTGATGTGATGTGTTGTGCTCCACAGGCAAGGGGAGGTTCCCAGGGATCATCGATTTGTTTGGAAGTGGCGGTGGCCTGTGTGAATACAGAGCCAGCCTTCTGGCTGGGCATGGTTTTGCTGTACTTGCTCTGGCTTACTTCAGATTTGAAGACCTCCCTGAATATTTGAGTGATGTGCACCTGGAGTACTTTGAAGAAGCCTTGGCCTTTCTGCTGCAGCATCCAAAGGTGGGGTCCAGTGCTGTCCTTAATACAAAGGAGGGGAGGGAAGTGTACTCAATGCCAGAGCCAAAAGCCTTGTCAGGACGCTGGGCGTTAGAGATACGAAGGGAGAGCCAAGCAGTTCCTCAACAGTGGCTAAGACTATTCCTGTTTCTACCCATCTTTCCTCTCTCTTAAGATTTGACTGTTTAGTTTCTTTCCTAACTATCATAACTCTAAAGCACTGCACTAAGAAACTGCTAGCCTTGAGTTTTCCTCCCACAGTTGCCCAAGTAAGGCAGCTGACATCTCAGAGGCTTGACTTTCCTCATTACTAACATTAATATAAGTTGTTAGTGGGGAAAGCTTGACTGAAGAGAGATGTCTTTGAGACCGCTGGTGACGCCAGAATAGGAATGGCGTTTTGATGATATTACGGATTCTCGTCAATGCTATGTGATGCATATTATTGTACTAGCTAGTTTTATGTCAGCTTGACATGAGCTAAAGTCATCGGAGAGGAGGGAACCTCAACTGAGAAAATGCCTCCCTAAGACTGGGCTGGAGATAAACCTGCAGGACATGTTCTTAATTAGTGATTGATGGGAGAGGGCCCAGCCACTTGTGAGTGGTTCCATCGCTGGACAGATGGTCCCGGGTTCTATAAGAAAACAGGATGAGCAAGCCATGAGGAGCAAGTCAGTAAGCAGCACTGCTCCATGGCCTCTGCATCAGCTCCTGCCTCCAGGTTCCGGCCCCCGGTTTGAGTTCCTGTCCTGACTTCCTTTATGATGGACTGTGATGTGGGAATGTAAACCAAATAAGCCTTTTCCTCCGCAAGTTGCTTTTGGTCATGGTGTTTTATCACAGGAGTGATAACCCTGCCTGACTAAGACAATTATTATGCTTTTATAAAGTATCTGAGAGCAGAAAATTTATTTTAAATATTTTCTGTGAACGTAAGTGGAATGACACAAACCTTTGCTGCCATCTAAACTGAGAGTATGGAACATTCTAATGCTGAGTGTTAAGATGGTTTGTAAAGACTTCAGATACTCCAATTTTGTTGGAGTTCAGGGACAACTCTAGGCAGAGCTATTAAAACCTAAATGAGCTGGGCAGAGTAGCCTGCACCTTTAACTCCAGCATTTGGGAAGCAGAGGCAGGGGGACCTCTGTGAGCTCTAGGCCCGCCAGGTGATCTGGGATTATGATGGCTTTATTTTTTTATTATTATTTTTTTAAAGACTTATTTATTTATTCATATAGTATCCTGCCTGTAGGCCAGAAGAAGGCACCAGATGTCATTATAGATGGCTGTGAGCCACCACGTGGTTGCTGGGAATTAAACTCAGGACCTCTGGAAGAGCAGTCAGCACTCTTAACTGCTGAGCCATCTCTCCAGCCCTGTGATGGTTTTATTAAAGGGAGATAAGGCCCTAGAAAAATAAGAGATCAAGAATGGTTCCTGACCTAGGACCTTTGTTTTACATTACCACGCAATGGTCTTCTTTTGGCTGAACTCTTTCCCACGGGGTGAGGAGTCTGAAGAGCCAAGGAAATTTGTTTGCTTGGAACTCAGATGCTTTTAACCACACTCTGGGGGTGTGAAACTCCCACATTCTCTGACTGGCATCTCTGACCATGAGTCTAAGCCCTTGCCTCTTCCCTTTGTTGACCAGAACATATACACCTAACTTTAAATATGTAAGCTGTGTGTCCACACATAATGAAGGCCCTTTACAGTGCACAAAAGAAGCAGATGTGGAAAGAGAAGGAAGGTGGGCTGGGATCCAGGATCTGGTGTCCATGGCTGGCTCTTCTTGCTACATCAATATAGAACTATAAGTGAGGTTGGGGTTTTCTTTTTTTTAATACAGGGTTTCTCTGTGTAGCCCTGGCTATCCTGGAACTCTCTCTCTCTCTGTAGACCAGGCTGGCCTCAAACTTCAGTTATCCACCTGCCTCTGCCTCCCAAGTGCTGGGATTAAAGGTGTGCACCATCACCACCCAGCAAGTTCTAAGAGTTTAAATTTAACTTGATCATCCATCCATACATGTATATACACTTACAGCTGAGATCAGGAACAAATAGATCTTTGTAATACAGAGGATGTATTACAAAATTAGAGCATCCTAAGTAATACCTGTGTTGGCCACACAGGCGTTGATAAGAACAGTGGCCGTGATGTTCCTTAGGAAAGCAGCCATCGAGAGGCACAGGTCACTGCATATGGAGAAACCAAGAAGACCGACATTCAGGCCTTTCACCTGATGAGGAGAGAGAACGAGTGGTGGTCTATTCATCAAGATAGAGAAAATATTTAACAGTTTGTTCATTAGTTTTGTTTATAAGGGCCTTTATGTGTTCTCTTGACCTGGTCTTTATAAACATTAGATGGTGCGTATACTCAGAAATCAATTCATTTGTTTACTAACGGGCACGTTTCAGTTATGTAGATTATCAAATAAGGAGGACAAAGAAGTTATAGCGGAGACAGGTACTCAGGGAATATAAACTCACTGCATGCTTTCCACTTGTGAGCTCTACAGTTGTTCTCTCTCATCAGGTGAAAGGCCCGGATGTCGGCCTTCTTGGTTTCTCCAAAGGCGGTGACCTGTGCCTCTCGATGGCTGCTTTCCTAAAGAACATCACGACCACTGTCCTTATCAACGCCTGTGTGGCCAACACAATAGCTCCCCTGTATTACAAAGGTCTGTCTGTTCCCGGTCTCGGCTGTGACCTAACAAAACAAAAGACCATGGAGTCAGGCCTTTTGGATTTGGTGGATATTTGGAACAATCCCCTGGAGGAACCTCACCGCCAAAGTCTTATTCCACTGGAAAGGGCCCAGGGACCCTTCCTATTCATCGTGGGCTTGGATGATCATAACTGGAAGAGTGAATCCTATGCTCATATAGCCTGTGGACGGCTACAAGCCCATGGAAAAGACAGGCCCCAGATAATCTACTATCCAGAAACTGGCCACTGCATCGACCCGCCTTATTTCCCTCCTTCCAGAGCTTCTGTGCACGCAGTGTTGGGTGAAGCAGTGTTCTATGGAGGTGAGGCAAGGGCTCACTCAAGGGCACAGGTGGATGCCTGGCAACAAATCCAGATTTTCTTCCAAAAATATTTCAATCATGAAATGCCTGAGAAGCGCAGCAAAATATAACATTGCAACTTTAAACCAAATGCCATGTGTGAGAGCTCTAATCATGCAAATTCCTTTGGACTTCCAGAGTACTAAGGAGGCTTTTTTTGTGGTCTCATATTCACATCCTTGTGTAGACAAGGATGACCTCGAACTTCTGATCCTTCTGCTTCCATCTCTTCAGTGCTGAGAGTATAATCTTACTCTTACCCTATCATGGTTTTCTGGGTATACACAAAACCTCTCACCAAGCCAATTCTAACCAATAAAAAAAAGTTTCCTCAGAGGTAACTGTGAGAGTCAACTGTAAAACTTCGAGTATAATCATCCACCTTGTATTCTAACTGTCTATGATGTGAACTCTGGGAGTTTCTGCTTCAACTCATTCCTGGGCAGACCTGTTGCTGGAGAGACACTAGGTATGTCTAACCCGAACAGTTAGACAAGATTTCCAGCATCTGTAAAATAAGTGCCAAGCTTAGAAATCAGTACTCCCGAATTCTTAGTCCTATTAAAAGCATCAAGCGATATAAAGGTCGTCTCTTCAAAGATGTCTCCATAGTAGCAAGTAGGTCTCCAGCTCAGGCTCTACCGGTCACTTTGTGGTTGCTCTTGAATAAGCTGTTGATCTCTCTAACCCTCCATTTCTTTATCTGTATACTGCGAAAGTAAGAAATGCTGCATTGAGATGTTATGATTAAATCAGACAATCCCCACAAGCCACTTAGACAGTTAACCTGAAAGTATTAGCTGCTTTTTTGTTCTGATGAGGATATTGGAAGCACGAAGTGTTGAGAAGCTCATCTAGAGATAGAGGTGTTTGCTGCTTGGTAAGGAAGCCTGAGGGCCTGAGTTCAATCACCAGACCCCATGGAAAGGGGACAGGAGAGAAACAGTTCTACAAAGCTGTCCTTTGCCCTCTATAAGCACATATACATCACACACACACACACATATATATATACAGACACACACATATATACACACAGACACACACACAGACACATCAC